TTTTTTTTTTCAGATTCGTCGAAACATAAAACAGTATTTTTGCTTCCCAGTCTATTTACTTGCATTACATGCTTTTGCTTTTCATCCCTTTCATCATTTTAACAGAATTAGCCTAGAAGTAGTGCCCAACAATGTCTTGAAATTTTATAGTTTTGAAATTCTTGGCACCAGAGTTTTTTTTAGTAGACGAGTCACTAATCCCACATTTTGTATATGGCCATGGTTTGTTTGTTTCGGTAGGTCTTTTAATTACCTTTCATGGAGGGTGACGTAAAACGTGTAGGTGCGGTCATTCTTGGGTTCATGATTCCATTTGATTTCCACTCCCCCATTCACTTCCTCGGCAGACAGGTCGGACGGCAGTGCAACTGCTCCTTCTGAAAGCACTGTACTCTGCAGCTTTCCCAGAGTAAATCAGGACCTAAGGCGCAACAGACGCGGGCAGCAGCTGCCTGCTCTTGTCTTCCCATCCATCTAAAATCGATCGTAAAACAGAACAAGTGATTCTCCGTGAGAGATCGGAGAGCACTGCAGCGTCCAGCAATCATTTGGTCACGAGTTTTGTGTTGTTCTAACATCATGATGAATTCTTTAGAGGACTCACCGCTACAGGCGCAATAGCCATCGATGCAGTGGGGGACTTTGTGATTTACTACAGTCGTATAAGCAGCTTCTCCATACGGATAAGGCTTTGAGTGCATCTGCAGCCTGTAGAAGCAGATGTTTGATCTCTTTTGTTAGAGGACGAGAGGTTAAGAGAAGTTGTCCCACTTGTACTCGCAGTCGTGATTCACAACAAGCGGATGGTTGTTGAAGATCAAGGGAATTGGGTGTATCCGCTCATTCTGAATGCATAGTTTAAGTAGGATATTTGACCAAGCTAAGCAATGCAAAGCGCAGCTAAACCATCACTCAGAACAAATAGGTTTCTCTTGTTTGAATTCGATCCTATTCCTTCTCAATACGACTGGACCTTTACTTCTCAAAAATGTCGCTTATGCTAGGATGTTATTTTTAAATAAAACGGAATAGTAAAGCGAGAAGAGCAAACGATCCACTAATGA